CAAAAGTAACAGTATATTGGGAGTTGTATTTGCTTTTTGGAACTAAAACTAGGTTGGTAGCGCCAGCATCGCTCTCCCTTGTCGCCTTTATCCCCCCACGCTTCACATCGATTCACCCTAGTACTGGCGGCTTGATGGCTTTGGAGTAAGCCTTTGGAGTTAATGTGGCCGAGAAAGCGGGGTAGTAGGCTAGTAAACAACTATTACAACTATGTAGAGCCCGCTAAACCGAGGCTGTCCGGCATATGCTTGTGATGACTCGAGTAGACTATTCGAGCATGTATAGTGATCCTTGCGCACTCCGAGGCGCGATACTTGCTCGCATTTGCTCAGTATAATGCTTTTGCGATTGCTTCAACCTCTACGCTTAGTGTTTGGCTCATCAGCTGCATCGTCGGCATCTGCATCTCCTGTGTTAGGAGCGGATTTATTCGGCTTTCGCCTCTTCCGCTTCTTTTTGCCTTGTTGAATATCATTGCCAGTATTCTCCTGGGTAGAATTTACCGCTAGGGGAAGTACTGCTGGTCGCGCAATCGGCGGAAGCTCACTATCATCAACTTTTGTCTTGCGCATGCCCCTGGGGTTCTGCTTCTCAAGCAACGCGACATATTCGGCTGTGCGTTTTGTATGCTCGACCTTGGTCATGATTTTCCAGTTCTCGGGCTTGTCTGCTTCTCTCCACTTTTGCCAGACGTCTTCGTGCATTACACTGCCACTGAGGACTACGAAAGCGCAACTGTTCCATAGTGTATGTACGGCTTGCACAGGCAGCCATTTTAGCCGCAACGGACCATGCTCTGTGAGCCACTGAGCCACTTTAGCAGGTGTTTGACACATGTTGCGGATGTGCGGTTCAACATAGATGGTACGCTGATCCCAAAATGCCAAACCATCATCATCGACTACTTCGAACGAATTGTGGGGCAGATATTTGGGTGGATACGAAGAGGGTTTGCGACGGATATGATAACCATTGTTTGACACTTGGAGCATTTTAGAGGGGTGATCTCTGAGCGCTTGTTGGAGGAGGACTTGGGAGGCTTCGGGTTTCAACGAGGAGATGTTGGGATGCTCGAGAATGGCTGTGAGATGGATGTCTGGGTATTGGGTTAGCTACACACAAACCCATAGCTCAGCGACGCCTACAGTTCTCTTCGCCATCTACTGTCCGGTATCGATCCCGAAGCCACTTTGCTCGCTCCTTTTCTTGGTGCGCATAGTCGGTAAAGATGAGTTCTATACCAGCAGCAAGTTGAGCAACGTACTCAGGGGTGACTGGTTTGACAGTAAACCTAGGGCCAGATTTGGTAGCTTTCAGTGCTACCCGCTCTTCTGGTTGAGGAGTGAGCGAGTTTGTCCTTGTATTTTGCATAGCCTTGACCAGAGCTTCATCGCGATCGGTCTCAGCATTGCTCACTGACGGATTGGAAGTGTTTGGTCGCGGCTTCTCACGAACGCCCTTGAGCCTGAGCGCTCGCGGGACAAACATGTTGTTGAAACGCCAGTACGGTAGTGAAGAGACAAGCAAACATGATTGCGACAAAAGTCGGTCGCGATACTATGGCAGGCGACTCAAGACGCGCCACGGCTCAGGAGCACGGACCTTACGTCAGTCCCCGTATTCTCCATTTCCCTGGGTAACATCAACACGCACAGCGTCTTTTCTCAATCCGTACCAAATCCCGCGCTCAATCCGTCGCAATGGCAAAAGAAAAGAACTACAACCCTGTTCAGGAAGCCAAAAAGGCAGAGAAGCAGAAACAGCTTCGCAAGCAAAAAGCCAACCTCCAGGCGCAGCGCAACGAGAAACTCGCGCGGCGGAATCCACATCGCATACAGCGGGACATCGACGGTCTCAAAGAGCTTGAGCAAAATGGATCGATACGGCCACATGAGAAGCAGCGACTACAAGAACTAGAGAAGGACCTTGCAGCGGTGAACAAGGCGCGCGCGGCGCTTGGAGACAAAGCACCAGTATTCAAGCCAGAGCGACGATTCGACAACGACGACCGAAGTCGAGGAGGCGACCGAGAAAGCCGAGGTGGAGGTGTTCTAGGCAAGCGAACACGAAACGGGCAGCGAAAGGAGGACGACAGTAGTGACACCGACGATGATGTCAAGCACATTCCCATGCCTCGCGATACGCCGCCGCCGATCCCGCGAAAGTACCAAGCGCGCGCTTCGCAGGCCGATGAAGCGCCGCAAGAGCCCAAGAAGCCGACGATTGTGTACGAAGCTGCGCCTCAAGTACGTGATCTGCGGAAAGAAGCCACAAAGTTCATGCCTGCGGCTGTGGCGCAGAAGTTGAAGTTGGCAAAGGGCGAGGGCCGGTTGCTAGAGCCCGACGAGTTTGATAAGCTAAAGGATGAGGGGTATATGAAGGAGCAGAATAAAGCAGAGGCCGAGGCTAGTGGAAATATTGCGCCCGAGGTGGATGAAGAGCTTGAGGCGTTTATGAAGCTACAGTCTATGAGTGCTGGACAGATAGCGGAAAAGGCGGCAGAAGCAGCGGTGCAAGAGGCAGAATACACGATGATGGATGCTGAAGCCAAAGGGCAAATGCAGGGAATATCAAACGAGGCCCGCACGGCAGAGAATACACTCAAGCACGTGCAGATGGAGGAGGTTGAAGACGAGGACCTGTAGATTGAATCATACCATTCACAATTCCATTAGTCCACCACATTGCCCTTGGCGAGGCGTGTTGTCGGGCCTGAGAGGACCATGCACAAACTAACATAGGCAAGCAAACACACCACATCCAAGCAGTTATTCAAACACCATAGCAGGCAAGAGGTGTTTAGGATAATGTTTCATTCGATTAGGTGTTAGGGTATAATATGTGTGGCTTCTAAGCTACAGTCATGTTGCACCTATCGCAACGTATCATCGATCGTCATTCCCAGGGTCGTGTCGTGAAGAGTGTGGGCAAGAAGCAATTTACTTCTTTTGTCCGCCAGAGAGGGAGTCGGAGATGGTCTGGCCAGCGTTGCTCAGAGATTCCTGGGCTTGCTGCATGACGCCGCCACTCTTGTTGGAGGCGTCATCGTGGCCGGAGCGGGTAGCGTCACCGAGCTTCTGTCCAGCAGACTTCTGGCCCTCTATTGTGATGGTTAGTGTACATGTTTGGATGAAGGGTACTTGGGGCGTCAGATGCATACCAGGCTGAACGGCACCAGCGATGCGGTCACCGGCTCCGCTGAGAGATTCGGATGCCTTCTCAGTGTTGGACTTGGTGGAGTCGGGCTGGACTGCAAGGCTGTCAGTATACTCGACTAAAGGCGCAGTCAGAGTGAGATGTCTTACGCTTCTCGGAGGCCTGCTCGCCGAGTCCCTTGCGCATGGAGTCAGACATGTTGATGTTGGGTGTTTGGGTTGTTGGAAGGTTTGTTTGAAAGTTGTAGTAGTTGAGTTGTGTGTGTGTGTGTGTGTGTGATGAGAGTTCATTCAAAGGGCTGCAAAGATGGTGCTTTATAGTTACCTGGCAGGCAGCGAGGTTGGCTACGACATGTGTACGTCATTCGTAATTGAGCAGTGGTAGCAGCAGTAGCAGCAAGCACTGCAGAAGAGAAAAAGGTGGGTGAGATGGATGGAGCCTTCCTGTTCCCACGAGCCACAACCGACGGCCAACATACCTGCAAGCCCTACTGGGATGTAGACCAGTTTGCAGGCGCCACACGCCGCCTCGATTGGTAGATCGGCGCGTCCGCTTGGCTTGATTGATGGTATTCTCGCGCCCGTCCATGGCATTCGCGTCATCGAGCACGCGCCTGTGAAGATGCGGGTTCTGGCCTCTCCGTCACAAGACGGACATGTGCCCTTCCTCTACTCTACGCCCAATCTAATAGGATGCATTCACTGGAAATCTTTGTCCACCACGGAAAAGGGTCCACAAACCGTTGCCCACTGTGCATGTGCATGGTGGGGTAAAACAACGGCCCCGCTGACGTAGCTGCGGTGTCACGAACTGATCGCGCATCACGTGACCTTCGTCATCCCATCACATGCAGTCCACATCAGCAGCCAACAGTGTGTCCCGTATGTATACAATACACCTACACCTATGAACATGCACATGCACATGCACATGTACTATCACTATGCTCCTTGAACAACCTGCCTCTGCAATTACCGACCACCCCCATTGGTACTCGACCCACCTTTATCGGCCTCAGGCAATCATTGCTACTCCCGTCGCCGCCGTGCCCCTCTGCGAAATCAAGTTTGACTTGTGTCGCAAAAATTCCACTTTTCATCTCGGTACCCTATTTCATCCCATAGCCTATATTGGATCAAATCGGCTGAGCCGTCGCGCCGCGCTGGATACCCATTTCGACCAGCACATGGCCTGGAATGCCTCCAGCCGGCTTGTCAGGCTGCAAACCGCTGTTGCCCATCCCACAAGCGTTCCTTGCTCATTTCTCGCTGCACATGGCAAAGTAGAAATCGCTTTATTTGCAGCGGCGCATACATGTAACCGCATCAACCACAGTCAAGAGTTGGCTTTGTTGCACTCCAGCCGCGGCGCCTTTGATGAGCAACATCAACCAACGCCCATCGGTCATGTCGCTCAATTGAACAGACTCGGACATCCTCGTTAGCATCGAGCACACCATATGGAAACCTCATACTGCACGACTTCTCGTTTTGCAGTGTTTGTCAGCAACAGGTTACCGCCCTGCATGCTCCCGCGCGTCTGAGGCGGACAAAATCTGCTGTTGCTTCTTTTACAACCTCACGAGCCACAACGGGGCGCCCCTTATCATGCTAATTAGTCGCGTAGAATTTTGAACTTGTAGCCAATCAGATTTTTGAGCAAAACTTATCCCACGCAACATCCCACTCAGCGGCTATCCCCCGTGTTTCACATGGGGCCCACATCGCACTTTTCCTAGACAGCTATCGCTTCATCGCCTACCACAAGGGTCTATGTCGACCAAGCTCCGACATCCCTAATCTTACTTGCCGCTGTACAATGGCTTTCTTCGTACGCCGTCAAACGCATACATTGACTCGCCATGCCATGTTGGCTGTGCCACAACTGCTAACAATAGTTCATGCCGTGCCCAGCACAAGGATACGTCTATGCAGCGACAAAGACAATGCGTGGTCCAGGTGCTTTACAAGTGGGTTTGACCTAAATACATATACCTCATGTACATAGCTTGCGCTTTCGGTCCAAGGACTTACCTCACACATTCGTTTACTTGGTATACTCGCCGACCAGTCACAGGTTGTTGTTGCTTCTGTTTCTGGCATTGCCTTGGTTTAGAAACATCAAACACCGAGGGGCTCATCTTCGTTCGTCGTCGACTACTTATGAATTAGGGCACCCTACACAAACAATTGCCGAATCCACCACATTCATTTATATTACATTCGTTCCTTCTTATTAACGCATTCGTTCACTACCATGAGGTACCTTCGAGTACTCTTGTTGCCTGTCGCTTTCCTTAGTTTTACTTGCGCCAACTTCACAGACGATGCTATTGCTTCTATCCAGACACTACAGAAGACCTGGTACAATTTCGATACTGGCCTCTGGTAAGCAATACCCCACCTCGTATCATTTTCTACTGCTAATGAAACCCAGGGACGACTTTTGGTGGCAGTCCGGCAACATTCTTGAGGCTATAGCTCAGTTTGGTATAGAAGATCCAGATTTCAAAGATGTCGCAGCAAGCATTGCCGCAAACACCTACGCCAAATCGCCCGATCAACATGGAGCGAAGCAGTGGACAAATAAGTTCTATGACGATATGGGCTGGTGGGCCATGGCCTGGATCGCCTCTTACGACTTGACTGGAGACAAGAAGTATCTTGATAGCGCCAAATCTATCTTCCAAGATATGACTAGTGGCTGGAACACGCCCTGTGGTGGTGGAATATGGTGGTCAGAAGACCGCGATTATATCGCTGCCATCGCGAACGAACTCTTCCTCGCCGTGGCTGCACACCTTGCAAATCGCTGTAGCGGCCAAGAGAGACTCGACTACCTCAACTGGGCTGAAAGAGAATGGGAGTGGTTCAGCAATTCCGGCCTCATTAACTCGGATGGACTGATCAATGATGGAATCGACCCGGCTACCTGCAAGAACAACGGCGGGACAACCTTCACCTACAACCAGGGCATCATCCTAGCTGGTCTTTCTGAACTTTCGCGCGCAAAGTCCGATAGTAGCCTCGTCGATCGTGCCTACGATATCTTTAATGCTGTATCAAAACACCTTACCGATTCCAGCGGTATTCTCACGGAACCCGTCTCCGGAGCTTTGGACCCAGTCGCATCACAGTTCAAAGGCGCTTTCGGACGAGGCCTGTTGACACTATATCAGTATAAGCCACGAAAAGAAGTCAAGCAATTCTTCTTGATCAACGCTAATGCTGCTCGAAGCGCACGAAAGGGAGATGGTGGCGTTATTCCCGGTCGCTGGCAGGGAGATAGCAGCGATGGTAACACATGCACGTTGGCTAGCGGCATTGACATCCTTGTGGCTGCGGCATATGCTGAGAAGCATTAGTCTACGTCTCCTTGTGGTCATTTGTAACGTTCTATACCCCGTTTGTGTTCTTTTTTTTATTTATCTCAATGGGTGTTTGGCGCTATGGCGTCTTGAGTCCTATTCCAGAAAAGGGGTAAGGCAGCTGGGTCTGCATTTGTGTATACTGTAATGATGAATGTTTAACGTAGTTCCAGCCTTGACGAATCCTGAATCGTCGTGACTCTGGCAGAATCAAATTTCTACTACCACTACTAGCTCTCAACCTGATCGTGACATTCTTGAACGTATCTTGGCTTTTCATACACGCATTCTCTCGCGCGCGCAAGTTGACGGTACGCGTCTGGTCGGTGCTTCGACCAAACAGGAACGTGTCTTGGTTTCACCTTGACATTCGACCAAACAAGGATTTTAAACTCTGAGCAATGCGCGCGTTTAAAAAGCTTGTTAATGCCAGCACTTTCCATCGACTCCCTGTAGACAAGGATACCTAGGAAGGGTTGATTCCATCAGCACATCGTGCACCCTTGATACTGGCCTGCTTCTGCTCCTTGATCCTAGCTGATTGCTATTTAAGTGATCACTTTACGAAACCATGCTTATATCGCGCCTAATTTCGGGAAACACAAGTTTGTCAACCATGTTCTTTAGTGTTAGTGTGTATGGGGAAAACGTGACGGCCCGTCACGTGCACGGTACGCTCGCTAAACCTCGAGCTACACTCTTCCTGCAGGGGTCCTCCTGTACTCCGGATCATGCTGATGGACCACCCGCTCCAGTCAAAATCAGTCATTCTATCGTCTTGTGCGTTCCACATCGTATTTACGCCATAGATAGTCAGGAAGCAAAAACTGGCCGATGCAGACGTTCTCAAATCGACCCAAGACATCGGTACCAACGGTTTTCCTCTCACCCCAGCTCCATATGTCTCACTTGTCCGGATCCGCATACTGGCCCTTTTTTCCCACATCAAAGGTTACCGACGGGTCTTAGTCAAGAATACGAGGGCATGCAAGGCGATAAGGTTACAGCTGTGCACTGTCCGCTTTACCCATAAGCCCGATGTAATCGACGTCAGTCGAGACTAGAGCTGCATGTACGGCAGCTTCATTCGTGACAAGCTACATTGCATTCCCTCTTTGTAGTAGGTAAAATTCGCGCAACTACACCGCTTTAGTGCTATCTAGGTTATTTTCGGGGTTTTTTTTCTCTCTTCCATACCGCTCCATCTGAGCATAATCCACATAGGTAAGGTCAAAGGTATTATGTGCAGCAACGTTGGCCTTTTTTTGCCTCTTCGTGCCTTGCCGTATATTTAGGCCAAGATACTGGGATCATTTTTCTACATACATAACTCATTGCCGGTCGCCTTGGGATACTCTTCTTCTGGACACAACGGTATCTTTTCCTTTGCTTCAACTCATTCTCTAATTATGGACTCCGGAGCAAACAAATCTCGATCATGGATACCGAACTTCCTCAGAGCGCCGGATCAGAAGGATGGTCAGCCAGATGAGAGGACATCGCTTCTACCCAACTCACAGCATGAGGAGTGGTCTACTGGCGAAACTTATGAGCTCGACGATGAAACCGCGACATCTTTTCAACTTGTTCTCCAAGAATTTTGGATACTGCTCAAAGGATCATTACCCGTGGTCGTAGCATACGCATTGCAAAACTCGTTACAGACAGTCTCTGTTCTTATCGTTGGGCGCTTATCACCAGAAGCATTGGCCACTGCTGCATTTTCATACATGTTCGCAATGGCTACCGGCTGGCTCGTTGCTCTTGGTGGAACAACAGCAATCGATACTCTAGCCTCCGCTAGTTTCACGGGAAGCAAGAATCGCCATGACCTTGGAATCATTCTCCAGCGCTCCTTTCTGGTGTTGTTGTTATTCTACATCCCAATTGCTATAGTCTGGTTCTGCTCTGAACCACTCTTCCAAGCACTCGGCCAGGAAGATTATATTGCACGCGACTCGGCAAAGTTTCTCTCCGTACTGGCACCAGGTGGTATTGGGTATATCTATTTTGAGGCACTGAAGAAGTACATGCAGGCTCAAGGTAAGTCTTCAACAAATACAAACCACAACGACGCGTCATACTCACATAGACAGAAATCATGAGACCCGGAACATACGTCCTTCTCATAACATCGCCTCTCAGTGCCGGCCTCAATTACTTGTTCGTGTATACTTTCAAGATGGGGTTACTTGGTGCGCCACTTGCGACTGGCATTGCATACTGGGCATCCTTCTTCCTGCTGCTTGCCTATGCACGCTTCATAGACGGATGGCAATGCTGGGGTGGGTGGGACCGAAAATGCCTTCAGAACCTATGGGTCTTTGCACGCCTGGCCTTCCTTGGAGTCATACACGTTGGCACGGAATGGTGGGCGTTCGAGATCGTCGCACTCGTTGCAGGCAAGCTTGGTACCATACCGCTCGCCGCGCAAAGCGTTATCATGACTACGGACCAAGTCATGAACACCATTCCTTTTGGGGTAGGTGTTGCTACCTCGTCGCGAGTTGGCAATCTCCTTGGGGCACGCAACGCGAAAGGTGCCGCCAGGGCTGCAAACACTGCCGCTATCCTGAGCATGGTACTTGGTGCGCTCGTATTGGCCGTGCTCATGGGGGTTAAAGACTTTTACGCTAAGATCTTCAACGATGATCAAGATGTGGTCAAGCTCACCGCCAAGGTGATGCCGTACGTTGCATTGTTCCAGATCGCGGACGGATTGAATGGAAGCTGTGGTGGGGCACTCCGAGGTATGGGCCGGCAGCATATTGGAGCTACCGTGAACATTGTCAGCTACTATTGCGGTGCTTTGCCACTGGGCATCTGGCTTGCATTCCACAGCCGGGGTCTCGCGGGCTTATGGGTCGGGCAATGCATTGCCCTGTACCTTGTCGGGTTTGCTGAGTGGGCGATCGTTGCTTGGAGCAACTGGGATTACCAGGTCAAGAAGGCTTTTGAAAGGATGGATGCGGATGACAGGGCCGAGCTGGGTGTTCCTCCTGAAGAGGCAATGCCAGTGCATAGATAGCTACTTTGCGGGGTCAACCCTGCTGGCGATAGCCATGGTAGTGGAAGAGTATTAGCAACGCTTCTTAGACATTCGATGTATGGAGCTTGATAGGCAACCCGGAGACGCCAATGCAAGAGTTGACGAAAAATTACCAAAAACATTAAGCGAGTGACGTTAGTGTGATTGGTATCTGGACCCTTGTCTCCACGATTCAACCTCACTCCTCATCACCTCCGCACTTTCTGCTGCATTACCCCCCCCCCACGTTGCACTGCCTCTCGGTAGTTTAAATCTATGCGTTGTACAATTAGACGCAAGTAAGCAGTTCAGGGAATACAACGAACCCCGCTTCACTCGTTAGGCGCCCAATTGATCACGGAGATGGTGAATACCATGAAATATAGGACCGTCCCGGGTCATTCGTTTCTTATCGAGCCAATCTGCGTAACAAGCAGAAAATATGCAAGAGGTTTACGTCGAATCTGCAGCTCATCAAGCAAGTAATGACCTCGCCGGAATTGCTTTGCATGCATAAGTGTGCAGCACGACTGGATTCTGTCTCGCTGCAGATAAGACTGGTGCAAACGGATTTTCACCATTGAGTATAGCCGTTACAGAATTGCTCATGGCAGATGCTACTGGCTCGATTCCCGGTATCTTGACCATGGCATCCGTCATCGCACATGGCGGGGGTGGTCTCCCCATTGATCAACAACGTTGGATGCGAGATAGCCCAGTAGCCTCAAGTGATGCAGAGATAATGGTAAAGACGCCGTATAGCCATCAAGGTATTCTCGGAATGCTCTAAAAAGGTGAAAGGAGCCTCAGATAGCTTTTCGTCAAGACTATTAATGCCTAGGGCATTGTGATCTCCAAGGATGGACAAAAGATAACTTCGGCCGTTTCATTACATCGACGGATAGCAACGATCCGATGCCACCAAGATATACTAACCTGTTGAAGGCAGTAAGGTGCTATATCTGCAGACGACATTGCCGTCATGGACAGGGATAGATCAAGCACCTACTCATGTAACGGCAATTTACCTAACGCGACTTCGTCAGAATGTAGCTGATAATGACGGATACGAGACTCATGACAGCTATTTACTGCAGTCTCGCGCCCCTCGTAATCCAATTCCTTCATCAAAAATCTTGTGTTTTTCTCCTCCATTGTCAGATAGAACTTTTGCAAGATGAGGTTCACTCCCACGCTCTTGAGCTTTGCGGCTGCGGTAGCAGCGCATGGCGACCACGACCAAGAGCCATTGGCTGGTCCACATGAGAGTCTTTGGTATAACACTCTTCCCGGTGATGGCGGAACACAAGTGAGGAACTCAATTCCTGTGAATGATGTTGCTGCGGAAATTAATGTTGATATAGGCCGACTCCGTCTTCTCCGGCATTTCCACATTCGGCCGTCTGAAGTACCACCCGTGTCTCTCGAGCGACGTGCAATATGACATTGCGTTCATTGGTATGATCGTAGTTATACAAAGAGAGATATTGTTCTCTAATCATAACATGCAGGCGCTCCATTCGACACTGGCACATCATACCGCCCAGGAGCTCGCTTCGGCCCCAGTGGCATCAGGCAAGGTTCTCGCCGTCTCAATCTCTAGTACGTTTTCCTCTGAGCAACCACAAGCTTACTTTTGTCTTCTCACACAAAGGCTCACGCAAACTTGGATTTAGTGGCGGCTACAATGTGCCACTCGAGGCGAACCCATTCAACTCCTGGGCCAAGATTATTGACTGCGGCGATATTCCCGTTACATCGTAAGAACCACTCTCTTCACTAAAGCACCCATTAGAAGGGGGCAAGAGGGGCTAGAAAATACTAATTGGTCAATATCAAGATACGACAATGCCTATGCCCTCCAGCAAATCGAGCAGGGCCACAACCTCCTTCTGAGCCGGGCACCCTACACTCACGCCAACAAGCCCGGTCCCTCAAAGAACGGCAAAACACTTCCCCGTATGATCACCCTCGGAGGCGACCACACCATCACTCTCCCCTTACTCCGCTCCGTCCACCGCGAATACGGCCCCATAACCGTCATCCACTTTGACAGCCACCTGTACGTAGTCCCTCTCCCTCTCCAACCCCATACCAACCTCCCATCCCACAACCCTACTAACAAACCCAACCCAGTGACACCTGGCGCCCCAAAGTCTTCGGCGGCTCCCCCAGCGAACAAGCCAGCATAAACCACGGCACCTACTTCTTCCACGCCGCCCAAGAAGGCCTGCTCGCCAACGACTCCAACATCCACGCCGGCATCCGCACCACACTGTCCGGCCCCTCCGACTACGAAAACGACGGATACTGCGGCTTCGAGATTGTCGAGGCGCGCGAGATTGACAAGATTGGCATTGATGGGATTGTCAAGAAGATCAAGGACAGGGTTGGGTTGGATAAGCCTGTGTATTTGAGTATTGATATCGATACGCTGGATCCTGCTTGTAGGTTTCCCCCCTTTTCTTCTCTTTGGTATTTGCGGGTTGGTAGTTGAAGTAAAGGGCTAATGATAGATAGTCGCTCCTGCGACTGGTACCCCCGAGACGGGTGGCTGGACTACACGTGAGCTGCGCACGATTATTCGCGGCTTGGAGGGTATCAACCTCATTGGTGCGGATATTGTTGAGGTTGCGCCGGCGTACGATACTAATGCTGAGTTGACTACTATGGCTGCTGCGGTAAGTAGAGCATGCTGATGGAGTGGAATTTATGAAGCTGCAGACTGACGTGCTTGATGTAGGATACCCTGTACGAGGTTATGACTTTGATGGTGAAGAGGGGACCTCTGAGCTACATGGGTGCTCCCTCAAAGGAGACTATTGAGCTGTAGATGATGTGGGTGCTTGAGGAATAACGACGAGCACAGCAGCGAGAGTTGAGCAGGAATGTGACATGAGAATTGGCCCAACTGAGGCGTTTTTGTCCAAGCATTTGATGACGATATATGAACAACAGTGAGGAGCAGTGATATCCAGGTAGTAACAACATATGAAACCCTACCTAGTAAACTCCATTTCTGCCCATGTCTACTACCGATTCAACAACCTCATGCACCCCATCTCATGAAGCCAAAAACAGCATTTATCAACACCCCCATAACAACAGCAACCTGCCTCCGTCTCGTCCACACCCCTTCCTCACGAAACCCCCACACCAAGCTGCCGAGCGGGAAAAAGAAGCCAGTCAAATACCCATACAGCATATCATCCAGCCCACCCTCCTCCACCGCAAACCCCGCGCCCCATCCCGTCTCACCGCCCGTAGCACCAGGCGCTGTCAGAGAAGCCGAGGGATCATTAGCCGACGAGTCAAGCCATCGATCTTCCAGCACACGGATCTGGGCCGGCGTCGGCATCGTATCAGGCGTATGCGTAAACGAAAGGTTCGTCGTAAAATGCGAGCGCAAACTCGCTACTTCCGCAGGTGTAAAGCCCGAACTCAACAGCCGATCGAAACCCTGAGCTTGAGGCACAGCCCCGTCCGTTCCACCAGCCGTCCCCGTCGTCGCAGTAGACCCGCGTCTGCGCGCATTGTAGTCTGCCCCGCTGCCTTTGCGGCGGAGCTCAGAGGACGAAGCGTCATACTGTGATTTCAGACTGATTTCTATATTTTGGGCGAGGGTGGCTTCGCTGGCGAGCTCGGAGGCGGAGAGCGCATCGCCGAGGGAACAGTGTATGTAGTACTTCTTCGCTTCAGAGGGTATTTCCGTTGTGCCGTATTGTACGGCGGGCGTTTCTCTCAGCGGCTGTTTACCTTTGCTCTTGCTTCCCTCTCCGGTACTACTGCTGCTGCCTGCTGTTGCGTCCCCGCTTCTGATGCTGCGGGGTGGCGGCGGTGGCGGAAGCCTTAACGATCGAGATAGCGGGTCATTGTCTGCGAGGACTTTGCCCGCATAGATTAAGCGTAATCGCGACGAGGCATGTTCGGGTGGGAGGTGTTGACGGATGATCTGCTTGAGCGAGAGGGTCGCAATGACACGGGGCGTGTAGATAGAGAGGGGTAGGTCGGGGACGGAGGCTGTGAAGCGTATTATCAAGTATATGAGCTGTTCAGGAAGGACAGGCGCGTTGGCTGCCATGATGGTGCGAGGTTGCGCTTGGGTTCGGAGATGAGGTGGGAGAAAAGTGATGGTTCATGTACATCCAGTCTACAAGAGTTCATGGCGGTCGTGACATCGTTTGCGTTGCTATTATATACTTTGCATCTCTGGTGGTGAGGCTGCGAGATCTGCGGCGGTTGCGCAGTTGGTGGCTCGAGACGCGGCAGCCCGGAGCTTAGCAACGTTGAGGTCATTTACCTCCGAGGCCCCATCCGCCGGGGAGACTGTGCCCCTCTCAGTTGTGATATCATATCGCTATAGATGCCTTTTGACTCACACCCAGATACTTTTGAACGCTGATAATTCAAAATGACGATAATTCATGTTGTTCTCTTTGAATGGAAACCCACTGCTTCCTCAGACCAGATTTCAGAGGTACTAAACATCAGCATATACACTGGTGATTACAAATCTAACGGCCAATAGGCATGCAAACAGATGCTTGCACTCAAGGACAAATGCATCCATCCAACCTCCCAAAAGCCCTACATTAAATCATTTTCTGGAGGAAAGAACAACAGCCCTGAAGGCCACTCTGTATGTCCACCCTCATGGCCAGCCTCAACTTTCAACTCAGTTGCTTACGCTCACAAGGGTAACTTCACCCACGGATTTGTTGTAGAATTCGAAAGCGAGGAAGATCGCGACTATTATATCTACAAGGACCCAGCACATCAAGACTTTGTAAAACTTGCCGGCGAGATGGCGAACGGTGTGAAGGTCCTCGACTACGAGCCTGGAAAGTTGTAAAATTGCGTTGTAAGCAAACGCAAGGAAGCGATTGTAATGGCCACATATGTATAGCGTAGAAATAATGCGTCGGATTGTAGACTGTATGTAACGCCAGATATGCAACGCCCGTAATGCTTCTATAGTATGACAAACGACTCGTAAGGGTATCATGATACACTAAATGATTCTCCGCATCCGCACTGCTCAGCTGTTGATTTGTTAGTGCTGGTTCCTGGTGTGCGCAAAACAAAACTTACTGATGTTTGGATTCTTGAAGATGAATCGCTCATTGAGCTTGTCCTCCAACCAGTCCATCTCACTACCAATAATATTCAATAGAGCCTTGTTGTCAATCAACACCTTGACGCCATCTTGTTCAACCTGTTCGTCCAGCGGGCTCGGCTTGTCCACATACTCTAGGTGATATGCCAGACCCGAACAACCCTTTGCTTTTGTGCCTATTCGGATGAGCTTAGGCTCTGGCAATTCGAGGAGTTCGCGCAAGTGCGCCACAGCGGAGGGCGAGAGCTTGATTGTCGCCTTTCGAGGTCCAAAGTTATATCGGCGCGGCCGAAGTGGTTTGCTAGGGCTTGCGACCTGCTGAGGCTTTTGTGCTTCGCCTTCGGGTATGCTGACGGTAGTTTGTTCGGCCTGGGAGGCTGCGTTGCGTTCGTGCGGAGGTGTTTGTGGTAATGTTGTGTTCTTTGCCTCGGTGGCTCCACCAGCGATTGAAGTGTCGGGTACGCCAACATTGCGTGGTGGCGGCTCTGGATATAATGACGAAGGGTGGTATGCGGTCGCCGTCTGCATCTGGCGCTTGGCTGACTGGCGCCTGGGGAGCGATGAGGCGAAGGACCGGGAGCATTGCGGGCATCTGCGGGGAGCAAACGGAGGTGCAGCGAACCGTAGAAAGGATGTACTTGAGCGCACAAGCGCTCCGGTGGTACGAGGTAGTGACATGATCGTAGGGCTGGGTATGGAAATGCGCTGCAACGTAGGGAGATGGGGTGCGCCTGTCGTGTGAGTTGAAAGGTACGGGCAGCTGAATGTTAACCAAATTCGTTCAAGGCTATGTCATCCGCTGCAAATCCCGACACGGGGCATAATTAGAAAGCACGAGTCGTTGATTGGTCAAAATGCCCCGGGATTCCGAGGTCTCGGAAATGCACGCCTGTCGTCTTGTCATGCTTGAGCGCCACCACAAAACACTCTCATCTCACACCATTCGCTAGTTGCCATCGTGTTTTCACCGAGAGTCTCGTACTATACTGAAACGGCATTTAGATACAGCCTTCGTAAAAGACTCATCTATATGCTAGTAATCTAAGCCATACATGACTCCTAGAGTTGTCGACGCTAACGTACTATCTTCAATCAACAAAGCAAAATCAACACAAACCTTTGCTCATGTCACACACTAATAAAGAAACTCATAAATGTTCGGCAATTTCTTCGTGTTCTCGTTTTTTCGTTCAAACATTCATACTCTTGGGAGTCTCTCGGTCATATTGTCATCACTCAAATATCACCAAGTTTCAGTATTTCATCCTTTGTAAAAATAAATGTTATTAAATCCTTCGTGCATTGCTCAGATCGATTTGATCTGATTCTTCCAATATCAAAAAACTCCCAAGCTACTGAATCCCACAGTGGTATATTGCTGTCCCAAAAAAGCACTTTTGTTTTCAGTTTCCCTTTCATCTACCAACCATTACTTCCGCCTCCAATTCTCTTCAAGAGTCCCTCCCTATATTCCATCTACTGGTGCATGTGCATTCCATAGGTCTGGTTGTAGGCAGCGTTGACACTCCTGTGGTGCTCGATAGCCCTGGTCTTGAGAGCCTTCCACGCCTTCTGGTAGTTCCTGGGTCCAGCCTCCTTAACCTCGCTGACGCTGGAGTTCCTGGGTGCGTCGGCACTCTGCCTTGGGCTAGAGACAGCAGATGAGTTCCTGGAAGCGGAGGGAGAGTTGCCGGGGCTGTAGTAGACAGCGAAGGCCTCGTTCATCTCGCGGTGGTGCTTCTTGAGAGCCTTCCAGGCCTTGGAGGCGTTGGTAGGGTTCTTAGGTGCGGATGGGCTGGCAACAGAAGAGCTGCGGGAAGCCTCAGGTGAAGCTGTTCGAGAGGCAGGTGATGAGCCGGTGTAGTAGGTGTTGTATGCGGCATTGACGCTCTCGTGGTGAGCCTTTGCGCGGCTGGCAATGGTGTTGAGGAAGTTGCGCATTGTGATTGTTGTTGTTGTTGTTGTTGTTGGTTCGATATATTCGAAGTTGATGAGAGTAGTAGTAGAGTCTTGTGCTTGATGCTCTGGTATGCTTTGTTGAGTTGATGCCCTTCATCCTACCGTACCCACCCTCCCTTTATATTCCCCAGACACTCCCCCAGAATATTCGCCATGACACCCGCCAAGCATCGTGACACTCCCCCTGGACACCGACGTTTTCTTTGCAAAGAAATTTCTCAGCATGCCTTGCACGCGCCCTTCCACGCATTTACAAGAATACGGAGAACTTCCGCGATCAAGGCAGCATGCCCATTGGCTGTAGCGGCTGACAAACCCACATAATTCAGTCAGCAAGGTCCTTCACAGGGCGTGTGGGCGTGCGTGACCCACCCATTCATGACAACAACATGATCCACGCCCTAGTGCACTTTTCCGGAGGGCCCGCCGGATCGTTTCCCGCAGGCGGCTAATTATGTCAGAGCGCATGCGCAGGGGGACGTCGCGATCACGAGTTTTCCACCTCATGGCCGTTAGCTGTTAGAAGACTGCCTTTGGAGGCATGGCGGGGGAAAACTCTGTTATTGGCTGTCGCACCACCGTCACCCTGGCCCAACACATGCGCTTTTCCGTCGTCGAGTTGCCCGTCGGATGCCAAGTTTGCATCGGTATTAAGTAGTCTAGACGCCGCCCATAGCATTTCGAGTGGATGTTTGTACGTAAAGTCGCGCATTTATTTTTGTTCATGTCCTTTAACTGCTAGACGAATGCCCTTGGAGGTTTGGTGATGCAAATTTTTGACCATGGCTGACTTGTTCCTGTCACCGGTTGAATGACGAATATGTGGTACCATGTGGTTGTGATGTGGCCGTGAAAAATATTTGTTGAGTCCTCTAGAGTACGATGTTCCAGCATCTTCGTCACGTTTATTATTGCGTTGTCTCCTGATTTTGTGCACGGTTGGCTTACACACGACGATCATGAGACATTTTCGACAACTGCCTAAACTTCGCAGGAGTAATTGCAAATTTTCAAGAGGTTTCTTGTTTTTCCTGTCAACAGATCGATCTCTGCACAAGCGATTGCGATGCGACAAACCAAGAAATTGTGTTTTCCATATTTTATGCTGTTGATCCAACGCCATTTGATGCACAGTAACTTTCCAGCAAGCGAGTTCCCACGATGTCATGTGCTCCAGTACATCTCTTCATAGGTGCAAGGCAGAAGAGCCTACACCCACAAAATAATAGAAGCACAATCCCCAACCAAACATCGCATGGGGTATTATGATGCGGTATCACTCCAGTACTAATCGCTTTCACCGTGAGATCGGTATACACTTCTCCGGTCAAGTGCGCGGTGGATTCCTTTCCACGCTCACCGCCAGACTACGTCTCAAGCGAACCCGGACCCCTCTTCAATGCGACAATTGTTGTCACAGGCTGCGGTACCACAGCGGTATAAGTACTGCCGGTTACAGGATCGACGCTGGATGTCTCTCCGTTAACGATAAGCGCTGTTCCTGAAGGCGAAAGAGAGAGCGTCATTCCTGATATCGTGACTAACTCTCTGCCAGGGACAAGCGTTTGTTCCTCAAGTACATATTTTGATCGTAAGCCTGGCATTACCGTTGTGCTGCCTACAGTAAGTATTGGTGGTGGTGCTAGCGGCGGCCCGCACGTTGTTTGAGGGTAATTTGGCTATAGAGATATTGCGATTGTGCCGACAACCACTTCCGTCTGGCTATTTGAAGTTCGGATCTCAATAGGTGTGTTATCCACAGTAACGGGCTTACCAGGAACGACAGTATATGGGTCTCCTATCAAAGGTATCGCCATCTAGTTCCTGCTCAATAACGACAGTCGCTGAGCCAGCAGAAACTGTAGCAATTGGAGGTGCTTGAGTGATCAGTAGAGCAGGGTCCAGCCGCTCTGTAGAGCCATGCTGATCCTTAACCTGTGTATCTAACCAGCCTGTACCTGTGATCTCGACCACCGGAGAACACCCTCTACATTGTCGGGTAGCACTGAGATTGGGTTCAGTAATCTCATGGTAACCATTGAGATCCCCTATCTGTGATGCGATTAGTGCTATTGGTCGAAGGTTTTGGTTTGTCGATTGCATGGGTACACTTCTCGTGGCATTGCCCCGGGATGTAATCAAAGTGGCCATTGCATTTACGGGTGCTGTGCTGGTAGAGATGATCACCAGATGTAAGATCTGCACTGGTATGGTAGGGATTGAATTCGGTGGTGCGGGTACTGAAGGAACACAAACTTGAGGAGAGGATAGAGTGGTATGACTCGGTGATAGATACGTCAGGTTTGATAAAGAAATGGCAGTGACAGATCTGGAAAAACTTAAACTTAGCAGAAGATAACATCTACATTTAGTTGGTGATCGATGGCGCTGAATGCAATATCCCAATTGACCCCAGCGCCACCGTATCAAGGCTTTCTGCTGCCACCGCTGACCTGCAACCGAATGCTGTTTTAGATTTGGCAAGCCTAATCAAGTTTAGTGAATTAAATGACTAAGAGTCCCCATAGCTACCCGCTTGAGCAACTCTCAGCCACGTTACGTATGGACATAAAATCCGATAGAAACAAGTAACGTTAGTCCGCCAGTATCACAGTGAACGGAAAATGTATTTGTTTGAAAAAAGGGCGTAAAAAATGCATGGCACAGATGACTGGAAAGAAGAAAAGAGACACTACAAGTTCTCACACTTCGCCCCAAATGACATAACTACTCAAGGTCTTGGATGCGGTAGCCTATCGTTCCAATCAAAGTTACTGACATGAAAATCTCTGTCTTCTGAGAAAACCGGGAAAGCCGCTGCTGGCTCAGGTACACTTAGGCAGAGTGATGCAGAATATCTACTTAGATTGCTATTGATTAGATTCCTCAAGTCTGTGACCATCTATGTTCCGATGAGAAATACCCGAGCTTGGAGATAGCTTTAACCGGCGCGGAAACAAGATATCATACATCAGCTGAGTGTTTACTAGCAATCGGTCTTTCAAGCGTCTTAGCGAATTCCAAGTCCTGTATGGTGTCTGGCTTTAATGTATACATGGGAAGAATCAAGTGGAGGAGCTAATGGTGGTTGTGCATGTGTTCGCAAGGACCTCGCGACCAGGTACAAGGAAAGTATGGGGAGGGCTTGACACGAAAGCCACGTGCCATACAGAGCATGTTTGTTGTTTTCCATACGTTGGTGAGTTCTGCAATAGATATTGTGGTACGAATTTAGCTGATAAATCGGCAACACCGAGCCCGCGAAGTCCAACCCCGATGATGTTGACATGAACAGTTGGAGCAATCTCAGCGAGCACCTGTAGTCACAAGCTACGTCGACTACCTACGCTGTGCATTCATCATCTGCCCCTATTACCAGGACATTGGAATGGACAATTGCTCCGTCGCTAGGGATTTATCGATACAGAAATGCGAAAACGTAGAAAGGGGTTCTGAATAGGATAGAGCAGTGAATGGTGGGGGCAAAGATGCACAGAAGCGCACCTGCTCGCTTATTGTTTAGCGTGGCCTTGGCACCAACGCTCAGAACTCGAAAATCACCTTGAATTTCCCGACTTCTTCTGACAAGCGCCAACTAACCCCACGACAACACAGATTGCACCGGAAGACCAAACACAGGTACGCTACAAAGGACGCCTTGTACTCGAGACATGGAAGCCGTTCAGCATTGCGAAATCGACACCGCTCCGCCATCGTGCCCTAGCTGTATGCCTACGCCAACGGAAGACATTGTCGCACGCGAACACTCCAATCGCTCCGAGATGAATACTTCTGCTCTTGGCTATACAATGCAAAGGACTGTGGTGGCGGAGCGGAGCGGAGCAGTGCTGCGGTTTCGGAAATCACACAGGAAGAACAACAGCTAATTTGATTGTGGGCAGCAGTCTTCTGAACAACCGCAATCATGGGGTATCTATCTCTTCCCTCCCCGTCATTTGACTTCATCCACTGACAATTTCCAGTATCTCACGAGACTCTCGCCACAAGCGTTCCGCGTCCGGTGCGAAGCGCGCATACTACCGCAAGAAGAGGTATGCATAACCCGATCGCTTCTCTAGTCATGTCTAACATGGCTTCAGGGCTTTCGAGAAGGGTCGCCAGCCTGCCAATACCCGTATTGGCACTAAGCGTATCCATCTTGTCCGCACCCGTGGCGGCAACCGCAAGTTCCGTGCTCTCCGTCTCGAGTCCGGCAACTTCTCCTGGGGCTCTGAGGGCATCGCCAAGAAGACCCGTGTTATCGGTGTCGTCTACCACCCCTCCAACAACGAGCTCGTCCGTACCAACACCCTGACCCGCTCCGCTATCGTCCAGATCGATGCCGCTCCCTTCAGGCAATGGTACGAGGCCCACTACGGCTCCTCGCTCGGTCGCAGGAGGCAGGCTAAGGCCGGTGAGAAGGAGGAGGACAAGAAGAAGTCCAACTCGGTCACCAAGAAGCAGGCCGAGCGCCTCAAGACCAGTGGAAAGATTGAGAATGCTGTTGAGAAGCAGTTCGAGGCCGGTCGTCTGTACGCCGCTGTCTCTTCCCGTCCCGGCCAGAGCGGTCGCTGCGACGGTTACATCCTCGAGGGTGAGGAGCTTGCTTTCTACCAGCGTCTCCTCAGGAAGTAAAGGTGATATTTGGGGCTTCTTCGGTGCATCGGTCAGGTCAAAATGGGTGTTTAGTCATGTATCTGGTCTGCATAGTCGCGGGACACTGAATGCACTCGGCATGATAACGCCACTTCTCTAGATACCACGAGACTATGAATCATGGTTTTCAATGTTCATGTGAAGCGAGTTTTTACTCTGCAGACTCTTCTTCTTCTCAGTTCATGCCAAGGCCCATGTTCCTGTTGACCTTTTACCCACGCATATGTTCTGTCCAATGCATAGAAGTATATTACTGACAGGTTACCTTTGCAGTCGGTAATGTCGCCTAGTCTGCTCTCTTGAATTTCCTCAAGCCATTCTATAACTCCAATTCACACCATCGTCACAAAGTTCCCAACCTAGATGAATGATCATTATAGGGTACTATGCGAAGAACAAAACAACTAATGATATGTACAGGAACTATTATCAAATGAACCATAGCAACAGCTGTGCAAATATCAAACGAGTTCCAGTCCACAATTTTTTTCACATGTCAGACGAACTATGTTCGCCTACCAGGACCGTTCTTATATGATCGACCATGCATCCCCCTCTCTCTAAGAGTCGGGTCATACCTCGGCTGCACGTGTATCCTTACAATTTCGACGCTGCGACAGGCGAGCCGGTCTATGAGTGGTGCGGAGTACCATTAGCTTTGATCAATTCATATGCGATACTATTTTCAAGGGGGAGAAAGGCATAGCACTAAGTAAGCAAGCAGTACAAAATAATGAAGCGCTTTGCAATTTGCGCAAATTCTGATCTTTGACTGAATAATAGCTGTGAGTAGTATACAGTTACATAATAGCAAAAAACCGCAGATGACGCACTTTTCATATGCTCATTACACCAAAACAATAGGTTTCGCAGCGCAATTTACAACTTGGAGGCTCCCTTGGGTGGACCTACATTTGTGATCTCGTTGTATAGGAGACTGTGATCTTATTAGTGCGTGATTCTTAGAACTTGGAGAGATATGGGACTTACGATGTCAAGAACTCGGCATAGTCTTCTCCAGTGACCTGACTTTCAAAGTACTTGGCAGCAAGATGGTATTTATTTCCCTTTGGTGCCTTGTCGCTAAGTGCCTTGGCTTGCTCCCGCAGCAGCCTGATAGCGTAGTCCTTTGTGACCTTCTTGCCCTCTGCAGTTTGGACGTTGTGCTTAGTCCATTGCCAAAGCTGACTCCTTGAGACTTCGGCGGTAGCAGCGTCCTCCATGAGGTAGTTGATTGGTACACAACCAACGCCGCGGATCCAGGCCTCCATATAGGCAAGACCAATGTCGAGATTCTTGCGGATTCCTTCCTCGGTGACCTTGCCAGGTACGTTCATGTTTAGCAGGTCGTTGGCAGTGATGTGGACATCCTCGCGGCGGACGTGCATTTGGTTAGGAGTGGGCATGTGCTCATTGAAGATTTCGCTCGCAATGGCTGCGAGCGCTGGATGAGCTACCCATGTGCCGTCGTGACCAGCGCGTACTTCGCGGAGCTTGTCTGCACGGACTTTGGCCATGGCAGCATCATTTGCTTGCTGGTCGTTCTTGATGGGAATCTGGGCTGCCATGCCGCCCATCGCGTGAACACCACGCCTGTGGCATGTCTTGATGAGAAGCTTGACGTAGGCGTCCATGAAGGGCGATGTCATGGTGACGCAGTCACGGTCAGGAAGGACAAAGTTGGGGTTCTGACGGAAGCGCTTGATAGTGCTGAAGATATAGTCCCAACGGCCGCAGTTGAGACCAGAGGAGTGGTCGCGAAGCTCGTAGATGATCTGTAATATGGTTAGCATATGGATCTTCTATCTGGACAAGTTTTCGACTTACCTCGTCCATCTCGAAGGCGGCAGTGATGGTCTCAATCAAGACTGTTCCACGGATGGTTCCACGCTTCATACCAATGTAGTCCTGGGCCATGTTGAAGACGTCGTTCCAGAGCCTAGCCTCAAGGTGCGACTCCATCTTGGGTAGGTAGAAGTATGGGCCCGCTCCGCGCTTGACAAGCTCATAGGCGTTGTGGAAGAAGTACAGTCCAAAATCGAAAAGACCACCGGAAATAGGCTCGCCGTCAACGGTGAAGTGCTTCTCCTCGAGGTGCCAGCCTCGGGCGCGAGCAATGAGTGTGGGTAGTGTTCGGTCTGTGCGAAGCTTGTATTCCTTCTCGCCTTGCTTGAAGTCGACCTGCCTGCGAATGGCATCGTACAGGTTTAGTTGACCGTTGATCATGTTGTCCCATGTTGGTGCGGATGAATCTGCAAAAGATTAATGATGAAACCCTCAACCGGTTCAGCGGAGATCGCATACCCTCAAAGTCAGCCATATAAGTCCAGACATCCGAGTTCAGGGCGTTGACGACCATCTTGCGATCAGTCGGGCCAGTAATCTCGACGCGCCTGTCGACGAGACCAGGCGCTGGTGGTGCACCCCTCCAAGCATCGTTCTCTCGGATATGCTTGGTCTCTGGGAGGAAGTCGAGAAGGTTTCCCTTGTCGAGCTCAGCCTGTCGAATCACTCGTCGCTGAAGAAGGGCTTTCCTGCGTTCATTGAATGTGCGGTGGAGGAGTGCAAGGAAGACGCAGGCGTCTTTACTGAGGATATGGCGGTTCTTATCGTTAAGGTCGCCGAGGATGTTGACCTCTCTTAGGATGCGCTCGGGATTTGCCATTGTGATTTGTTGGATGTGCTTGTATGAAATTTTGTGTATGTAGAACTACGAGGGATGACAAGGTGAGATGGAAGAGAAATGCGGTTCAAGTATGTACTGTGCGGAGAAGGCCAGGCGGCCGGTAGACAATATTTATGATACAGACGTCACCCATCTTCAATGCCTGGGCCGAGGATCTGCTTGGTCAGTTGACTGATACAGACTAGTCGGCTTGATGTGAATGGTGAGCTAAAGGCGTTGCTTCGGCGGAGAGGAGCTTCAAGCTTGTGACGGTGCCAAGATCCGGAGCTCAAATGCGGGGACAAGGGCTGCATGCGGGCATTGATTTGTCTCGCCAGCATCACAACCCCTGGAGAAGCACGCATTCTGGAACCATTTCAAGACGATAGATTTGCTGCGATACCGCCGTTGTGCTTATTTGCAGCTGATTGCATGGATGGCGCAGGTTGCAGACGGACTGAGGCGGCAATTGACGGAGGATGTGACGGTGAGGCTCGTACAAAGAGTCCACTCCCGGGAGCTCGCCGGCCGCTCCCGATACCACACCATCACCGTGGTTAAGCAATTGCCGTTTCGCCGCGGCACTCAGGCATTGACTTTCTGGGTATCGAGGCATTCTTATGATCAGACATGGTGTCTGCCCGCACCTTGGTCATGCTGATCGTGGAGAGGAGACGTGATCCATCGTCATGAGTGCATGCATAGCTGGGCAAGGTGAAAGACGGGACAATGACCTTTGTAGGTATGGAACAAGTTCTATGTTACTCAATTCGCATCTTCAATAAGGTCTGTTTATGTTCTGCCGCCATGCATTACTGCACTTCTAATACTAAACATTATGGTTCTACGCTCTAGCAAACACAATCATTACGGATACTCGGTAGCATCCACGACCCGACCTCGGCACAATCATATCAAGCTCGCCACATTGCCGAGCACCCTTCACTCCCACTCAGACCTTCGAAGGTGCAATCTTGAAAGGTTTCTTGGACTGTAGAAGCCCCCAATTACACTCACCCGCACTGCAAACACCACCAAGACCTCCTCGGCTATCGAAATGCCCCTTCGCCTCAAAGGTCGCCTTGTACTGAGTATCCAAATAGATCTTCTCCGCGACGCGTGTGAATTTGAGGTCGAAATTGCTAGATAAGAAGCCATTTGTACCTTCGTATACGTGCATGAACCAATAGCCGTTTGAGGCTGGATCGCAAGGCCATGCGCGGCCGATGGGTGAATCACCATTGATATACCATTTGGCTTCGCAATTCTAGTATTCCTATTAGCATGGCATCGAACGCAAAGATCACCATGCGAAACTTACCACCCCCTTGCTTCCAGCAGGCACTATCATTTGGCTACCATCGCTCGAAGTACCAAGGTTGATCGCATTCGGGTCGGTTATATTCGCCTTAAGGGTACCCCAAGGATAGCTTCCGGGGCGACCCATGGGTACGGAAACTGCGAGGTCTGTTACCTGCCAATCTTCCAGCGCATCGTGACGAGCTTCAAGAGGAGATGCAGCTACCGAGGACGCAAATGCGATGAGAGTGATAGCAGAAGTGGTGGTGAATTGCATCTCGGAGGTATTTGACAATTTGATAGTTAACACAATCGTAGACAGAAAGCTGCTTGGATAGAGGCGTTTGAAAGTGGTTTGTGTTCATCAATTGTATCGACTTCCCTTCTCTTATATACCAAGGGATACTCCCAGCAAGAGTATTGTTACAATCGGTTATCTCCAAACCCCAGCTCAAAAGATACCAGCAGTCACTCTTTCGAGACGTGTTGTTCGGTAGAGGTTGCATCGTCTACTCCATCCTCAGGCACCCGGCATTCAGGCACCCCATCCTATATATAGTAACGATCAACATAGTCATTTCTGCATCTTGTTGGAATGAAACCGTTGTTCTGAAGCTCTTTTCTAATCTCCAGGCAGTTTTATAGATGATTTAGTTGTCTCTATTACAGGCGCGCCATATCTGGCGGGTGCAGTTCCTTCTGTGCCGATAGGAGATCTCTGTGTATCTCTACTGTTTATGGAAACAATTTCGCTGGTATCCGTTGCGTCTCCAATCAATATGCGCCACCGTTTTACAATGCTAGCACTGGGATTGAAGAATATGTAAAAGATGGTGCTACGACCCTCGTATTCGAGGTATGCATATCACACATCAATACCATGTAAATTGTCGTACAGCTTACCTCTTTACAAACTCGGCTCCGAAGATCAATTAATGTAACCCCATATTCTAGTGTGTTCTTCGGTGATTCCATATATTATGCGTGCGGCGCCCTGCAGCCTCTAGCTACATGTTGTATAGCACGCTGTGGAAGAAAAACGTTTCATGCTTTCGGCAGACGTTGCTGCAATGCATCATACCAGCTGTAGCTTATTTTAAGCTTAATCGATTAACCAGCTATTGCGAAATGGGAGACGGAAGATGTTTGATTGGCCAGGACTTGGCGAAGAAGGCAGTGCTTCAACATATTATAAGGCACGTTTTTTTCAGTGCGCAGTAGGTGTGGTGATAACGCTGACACTCAGGGAAAAGACATAAGAACAATGGATCGAACGCAAAAAGAGGTATGACTTCGAGTTCTCTAATACAGACAAGGAGAAAAGGAAAGCCCGCCAAATAAATACCCATAATATGCGTCGCACAAAGTCTCGCCTCCTACTCTATCCAGGCAACCATCCAAATCGTACTATATTGTATTGTATCCAGTTCTTTTTATTCGCCATCAGAATCCCCCACGCCTCACCCTCAGCGACTCATTGTAAAGTTCCTGCCATAGTTGGCGTACCGCTCTCGGATCTGTATTTTTCCAATTCTCGATGATCATTGGTGAATAAGACGACGGCGATGACAGGGGTAAGTATTCCGTATCTAGTGCGCCCAATAAGCTCGCGTTTTTAGTCACGTGATTTGACTTACTGGGCCACAGCCGTCGTGTGATCCAATAAAACGGTCTGCGCAGCCACTTGCGTAGACTGAGCGGGGACATCAAGACACCTAATAATGCGACTAACACAGTGATCATAGCTAGGCAAACACCACCAAGAGCTAACACATCCTGCCTTGTCCAAGAAGGCCGAGACAAAGAAGGTGTGGCAGTTGCCTGACTAGGGCCAGGTACAGGAGAAGACGAACTAAACGCGTGGGGAGGAAGCATTGCTTGAATGAGGGAAGAATATGAGTGGCTGGCTTCGTGGTGTAGATTACCATGTGCCACTCTTACATCTGGTTATGAATATTGACTGGTATACCAGTCGCGGCTCTTTGTACGCCCACCAGGCAACAAGGCACCAAAGAAGGCAAACAGGCAACAAGGCAACCGCTGATCGCGTAAATGATAGGTCCAAAGGCACCTCGAGTCAGCACTAAGCCTGTGCCAATGCTACACAACCCCACTCATGCTGCCCCATAACAACATCTCCTTTTTTCCAATATGAAGGTTGTGAAGTTCCTTTCAAAGCATCGCTTTACTGTGATCTCGCGATAGACGTTGAGTGCTCTGACATTCAACCAAGATGTCTTCTCATTTTGACGTTATGAATATTGGCCGATCGAGAAACAGCCTTCTGGCTTTCGAAAAATGGGGTGCTGGTAATTAGAAGCGACAAGAGATCAAGATGCTGGAATGGGGGAGGCTATGTCAAGTGCTTGCACCAACGTGAGAGCGGGACTAGGACGCAAATGGAAGAAATACAATGTGATTCGTTTTGTTCGTGTTCAAGATAATGGGGGTTGGCCAAATAAGTATTGGCCAATTGATCAAACCTGCATGAGGCAAGGAACACGGGCGCCTTTTAGATTGGTCGCGCCGGGCTGAGAGTAACGGCACTAGCTCGCAAAACTGCCATGCGTTCATGTGCATACTAAGATCCTTGAAAATCGCAATGGGAAATTGCTTAAAAACCCTTATACCTCTACTTTTTTTCTCTAAATATATGGCATTTGATGTTTTGAACTCTCTACTGATAGTTAATCACTCATCTTCCTCATCTTCCCATTCGTTATCCAAGTGATGTCCATCTATAGTCCTCCAAGTATCCTCTCCGTCGCTCGGCTCGTCATTAAACATCATCCACAGCTCCATTAGCGTATTTCGTGGTCTCTGTACCTGCACTTCCGAATCTGTACTTGTATGATCGCTGTTGTCGAGAGAAGGCGCCAAACTAAGAATGCGGATTGCTTTTGTCGGGAAAATGCGACCGGGCCCATCTTCTTCCTGTCGCTGGCCGATAGTCTGTGCTACGAGTTAGATTCCCATTGCAAATTGCCATCTCTTCTTGAAAAAGCAAACTCACAGCGTACGTTGTCATAATGGAATCATGATACAGTGCCATAAAACTGACGGGCACCATCAATTGAGGTGTCGAACCCGTAAGGAGTGAGTACGAAGCTCGATTTCCGCTTTTGCCTTCTTCCAAGTCAAGTCGATTTTCTGCGTTTAGTGCGACGACATATATTCTATTTTGGATTCCAAACATGATGCGGTGGTTTCTCACAGATAACCATCCGCCGAGATCAAAATCCGACCCGTCGGAATCGCACTCGAGAATCTGGCCATGGCTGGCTATGCTCTTAGGCCCGTTTTCAAGTGTCTTACGAATATCAGAGCATATGAAAACGCGACCGAAGCGGGAGAGGCCAATAAAGAGGTTGCTATCGCGGTCTAGCATACCGGCGCCCCACTCATCCTCGCCATTCCTGGGGTGATTTGGGTCATCAGGCGCGTTCGGCAAGGGGCCCTTGCCGAGCTCAATAGGAGTAAGGCGATTTCTGCGTGGCGAGGCGGGAGGGAAGATCCGCCTTGTCTGGCCATGGCGTAATCCATACATTGATTCCCTGAAAGAGGGATCGTTTACGGGTGGTAGTGGATGCACATAGTACTTGTCTGTGCAATGCGATGGCTGCAGCTGGCCCAGGCAGTTTCCCGACTCTTTATCGTACACATGATACCCGCGTGTACCCATAGAGTAAACTACCATATCCTCGTTTTGATCTAGATGGCCTACTGCATCTTGCTTGATGCTAAGATGGGTAGTGAGCTTCGGTGGGGTTTGCTTCATATCATACACAAAGCCCTGGCCTTCTACCGAAACGACTACAAGCGTCCAATACGAGAGCTGAAATCCTCTCGTCTGACAATCATGATCGAGGACAGCAATACGCTTAAACACTCCTCTTTCAGTGCCCTCTTCATCTGTCCGCCATACCTCCAGCGCGTCGCCCTCACGGTCAAACACTGCTGTCCCATCTTGGTATTCGAGATGCGCGTATGGTCTAACAGCATGCTCTTCTGTTGTATCTAGCACGGAAGGCAACCGCCACAAGAGACGGCCTGAGTCCATATCTGTAACGTTGAAGCCACCAGCATGCGAAGTAGAGATAAACAAGCGACGTTTGAAATCTACCTTGAACCGCCATATGGCATCATTACCAACCTGTAGGACGGATTCGCGGGTCATAGGCCGTGGCGCATTCCAATTGCGCTCAAGCAATGTTTGGCGCTTGCACAAGTCTTTCCAAGTTGTGACATTGTCGAAGAATTTAGAAAAACTGGTGGAGTTTTCAAGGAAAGAAAAATCGCGAGCGCTGCTGTGTGATTGCGGACGCTTTGGTGATTGTACGGTTTTGGACGGAGAGGAGTAGATGGCGTCCTGGTGGGTGTGGTCGATGAATTGCTGCCAAGCACGTGATACGCAGGTGAGAGAGCCCAGCGTAGAGACAGACGTGAAGTCAAGGATGTGGAGGACAATCTCCGGCGGAAGAGCCGCAAGCGGATCTGTAATTGTGGGGGAGGCTGCCATTGCGTATTGCCGGTTGCTAATAGCGATTCGGGAAGTTGATGTTCCGACCCGCGGTTGTGCTGTCGATGGTTTTGGTATAACAATACTGTCGGTGAACTGTCAAAGTAGCTTCCCGATGAAGTCATTGTGGAGACGTCACGTTGATCAAGCCACAAATCAACATTGTCAATAACACATGTGCACTCTCAAACATAGCTTCCAGCTACATGTCGATTTTCGAAGGGAAAAGGGTCATTGTGCAATGAGGATGGTTGCGGGTACTTTTGGTTCAGAGTGCACGTGCATGTTTTCTAAAAAAAACGGCTAGCACTCACGAGTCGTATGCGATAGCCCAGGCAAAAACCACCATTACTAGACATTTGAGCAGATTGATATCACAAACTCAGTGAGAAAACAATGAAATCGTCTCTCTATATGATGGGTTATAGATTGATAGGTTCACGCTTACGGATGTCGTCTCTGCCAACGCACGTCACTTTTCTCTCAGGTAAAGGCGTACGAAATGGCTATGGGCAGGCAAGATACAAGTATGCTGAATAAACTTGACTGATTCTGGATTCTTTTACACTTCTATATTGGCTTGTATGCAAAGCATAATGAAAACTATGAATCAGCATACATGTACAATCTGATAAGCAGGCATAAGTACAGGCAATTAGAATCTTGATACGAGTGTACAACTGATTCAAGACAGGAACATGATGAGTATCATCGATGCTACCAAACATAAGGCTGTCGAAACGTATATATTAGTATGTGACTAGAAGTTTAAAAAGTCTCAAAGTAAACTGACCTTGTTCTCCCATGTCCAGAAGGTGCCGCTGTGCTGTATGCCTTTGCTTGTGATCACTTCAATCATCTTTACAACCGATTCTTCCGGCGAAATGATACCCTCTACTGTCCACGGGAGTTGAATGTTTGCCATATCAGTCGCTACTTCACCTGGATGCATGCATAAGATGATTGTATCGTCGTCCTTCCGCTTCAATTCGGCGGCCATGTGCCTCGCTGCCATGTTTAGTGCAGCCTTGGACGCAGCATATGCGGCAAACCCATCCTCCATCTCACGAAAGTTGCCATGGGAACCCGAGTCACTGGACATGAAGACAATTGTGCCTATGGGGATTTTTGTTTGCAGAAGCTTCTGTGCTGCGATGATGGGCCCGATGGTGTTTGTGTGTAAATGGAAAGCGAATTCATCAAACGACCTATCTGAAGTCAGCATCCATGATCTCGACCATGATTACCGTCACCCGGATATACTGGATTTGTTGCGAATGCACGCTTTAGCCACAATCAGAAAAGCGTGACCGCGACGAGGAACGTACAGCTCAGTAGCCCTCTGTAGCGGTTAGTGCAGCCCCCTTGCATATGTGCATAATGTCGAACTTACATTCGGGTATCTTAGCACTCCTGCATTTAGTACTACATAGTCGATCTTCAGGTTCGGCTGTGCTGCTAGTTGCGCGACGAATTTCTGACAGTGTCAGCCCCTCTTAATCTCGTAACAGGAACGGAATGGAATGGGCGCCCGTACTTCGATGCTCAGTTCAGACAAGATATCGCATGTGTACATTTGACATCGACCATGATCGCCACCTGCTTGTCCCCACAGGCCACTGGCATGCCCGGCCCAAGGCTCTCTCACAGTAGCTATGATGCGTTCGTTCTTCGCTAACAACTGCTTGACGAATTCTAGGCCAATGCCTCGGCTAGCGCCGAGTATCAGCCATGTTTTGAAGTTCTCGTCGGCATATAAGATACTTGGAATCTGATCCATCCTGTCGGTTGAGGTGTGGCGGGGCAGAACTCAATGATGTCAACCAAGGAACTGGCTCACAACGGATGGCGGCGGGCTGCTGGTAGAAGACAAGATGAGTGTGATTCTGGTTGGGGAATGTAATACTAATGTACTGCTTTCTAGATCACGAGAGCCGGTATTCATCAACCTGAACGGTAACGTGAAGATGTGTGGGTTCATGGACATGTCACGTTGATTTACGGACCCTTGCGCGGCATCGTATTTGGTATGTAGAGCCGGCGGCGTCCTGCAGGGAAGCCGACGGACCAGACCCTGGGAAACCCGACGACCAGAGTATGTAGGGGATGATAATTGCTTTTGGCCTACATCTACCTACTCTTGATATGAACATGTGCGTGGACTTGGCATGTGTACTGGCAGCTGCCCAGGACTGCTTGCGGGCGACGTCATGACGGCATCGACTGATGGATTAATGCAGAATTGCCGAGTACCAGGAAAGTGGCTAAACAAAGGCGGCCCTGGCACAGAGGCTCTTGTTTGCCATGCTCAGGCGTCCTCGGACCGGTTCCACCCGACCGTCTTTGCTCCTGACTTTTACTGCGTTTCTGATTCGCCGCATGCAGGCGCTAGCCGCGATGGAATGACGGGCCCTAAAGCGAGCGCGGTCACGTGTTTGGCTTTTTCCATTGCCTCTGCCAGCTTTTTTGTCGCTCATTCCAGTTTCCATCGCTGCTTCCTTTCACCACTCCACAAGTCTCACTCTTCTCTCACGTCTGAACACTACCTCTCTACCACCTAACCAACCCTCACACCTCTCATCTTATCACAATGGGCTACGAAAAGGGTACGTTTTTCTGACCCCAATCGGACGTCATCGGTCGTCTCCCATTTTGCCTGCCTCGTCTTGCCTCCTGCTCCCAACACCCATTGAGCCTGCGCGCACATGGAGAGCTGGCCTCCCTGAGAAGCAGTGTATTCTCGGAATACAAGCCAGCTAGATTTTGACAGCTCATGAGGCGGTGTGCAAACATGGCAGGTTTGCGACATGGCGAGATGGCTCGCTTGGCAGTACAATAAATTTTATCGTCATGCAGACTGCTGACATATCCTTGCAGGCGATGCTAAGAAGGGTGCCAACCTCTTCAAGGTACGGATACACTGAGATGACGCCGGATATACCCCTCGTCGCATCACTTGTTCGCCGAACCTCCTCTAACCACACTGTAGACCCGTTGCGCTCAGTGCCACACCCTGAAGGCCGGTGAGGGCAACAAGATTGGCCCCGAGCTACACGGCCTCTTCGGCCGCAAGACTGGTTCCGTCGCTGGCTACTCATACACCGATGCCAACAAGCAAAAGGGTATTGAGTGGAACCACGACACTCTCGTATGTGACGCCGTACCAAGACAAACATCACCCGACAGTCAACGCTAACGCAACACAGTTTGAGTATCTTGAGAACCCCAAGAAGTACATTCCCGGTACCAAGATGGCCTTTGGCGGTCTCAAGAAGCCCAAGGACCGTAACGACCTGATTACCTTCCTTGAGGAGGAGACCAAATAAGCGTCACATTACCACGTTGACGTTTACCCACTCTCCGACGCTCCACGACCCTTCTCTAATACCTCTTCGACCTAAGATCTCTTTGGATTGTATCAACATCGATGATAGACGAACGACTGAGGCGGTGAGCGCAGTTTTAGCGCGTTACTGTTCCATGTAGATTATGTTTGGTGTATGATTTTAGGGCGTTTTTTCGATGTGGTGCAGCATAGACCTGGTTTGGAACTTGGCGGCACGTTCGAAATAACAATTCTCCTCTATTCACTTATGCTCTCCTTGTCTCTCGGGGCACTGCTCTTGACTTATGAAAAGGGTGATATATGATGGTAAAGGCTCCGCACATTTTGGTCCCACCCTGGCGGCCAATGGTGAGTCGGGCAAATTTTCTGACACGTTGCGGGAATTTCGATAACAGGGACCGTATTTGGAGCGGTTGCATCATGTGTACCTATGGTACTACGTTCGCCTAGCTCCATATGGTGCGGCTCACGCGAGTGTCTGGGCATCCTCGGATCTGAGGAACATGCAGCAAGGAACATGCGCTCTGCCGGCGCCTCCTCCGACAACTAGCCGAGGATCAGTGGCTGGAGCTGTGTGATTGTGGAGAGCGATACACTGACGTTGTCGCATCCCATTCATTGGCGACGGCAGGCGCCAGAAAAGAAAAGAAGACAGATAGCCGTGTGTTAACCAATACCGTCTCGTCAGGCGTGGGATGAGAGGCTTATGAACGCGGATTGCCTGTGACGCTGCTGCGCGTGCTTCTCCACGCTCAAGTCGAAAAGTGTGGGGGAAGGTGCAAGTGCTCTCCAATCAGTCGTGGCATTGCCGGGAAACTCCGTGTATATCTCATCATTTAGCCATACACATACATACTTTACATGGGCTCTGGTGCCGCCTCTCCCTTCTCTCACTCAAGACGACTCGTCGCAAACCGCCCCAGCACAACACTCCACGCGCCGTTACCTCGGCCGGTTCATCGCCGTCCATTAGCGTCATAGTGGGGGCGTTCCGCAGCTTGAACGGGGGGACACCACCACCGACCACAGCACTTTGGCGAGCACACAGCGACAAAGGCCGTTACGGCCTTGAACAACTGCCATCATGTCGTGGAAGCGGAGCGAGAGGCTGATGGAAACCATCAAGGTAGGCAACCCACCCCACGATGCCATCACAGCTAATCCTCGCGTAGCACTACAGCAACTTTCCGGCGACTGGTCCGTATCCTCGAGTCTTGCTGTCAAGTGTCTTTCTAATTCCATTCCAGGCGTGTCCCTACGGCAGATGGTGCAGTTTGGCGAGAAGCCATCGACGGGAACCCTTTTCCGCGCGTCACAGTTCCTTTCTGAAGAACTTCCCATACGGTTAGCACATCGCGTGCAAGAGCTCAACGATCTCCCCGATGGCCTCAACGAGATGCCATCCATTTGCAGAGTGCGCGATTGGTACGCGCAGTCATTTGAGGTATGTGCAGTGGCGGCTCGCTGAATAGCTTGACTCACACAGCGCTAGGAACTCGTCGAACTGCCACGGCCACAACTCTCGAGCGAGATCAAAGAACGATTACTGAAACCAGCGAAAAAGAGCGGCGACAAGAACTTGATGAGTAAACCGACACAAAACCCAAGTATCAGAACTGGACAGTACCGATCCGCACCAACATCGAATGGAAACCACAATGGCAATGGCAACGGTAACGGAATCACCAAAGAAGTCAAGGGTGCAAGCCGGAGATACTATGTCGCTGCAGACGACGGCCAGGATTGGCCACCAGAGCTCGGCGCATACAATAGAAAGTTTGCCGATACTTTGGAGAAGATCAAACGGCGGCATGACAGCGTCGTTACTACTGTCGCGCAGGGCATCCTCGAGTGGAAGCGCAAGAGGCAACGGATGCACATTGACCACAACATACAGGCTTTCCTGGACCGTTTCTACATGTCACGTATCGGAATTCGGATGCTCATCGGCCAGCACATTGCCCTCACCGACCAACGCTCACGGAGTGATCCAAACTACGTTGGTATCATATGCACCAAGACAAACGTACAAGAACTGGCACAAGAGGCTATTGAAAATGCGCGCTTTGTGTGCGAAGATCATTATGGATTATTTGACGCTCCAAAGGTGCAGCTTGTGTGCAACCCCGGGATCAACTTCATGTACGTGCCTGGGCATCTGTCGCACATGCTCTTCGAGACTCTGAAAAACTCGCTGCGTGCTGTAGTAGAGAGACATGGGCAAGAAAAAGAGGCATTCCCTGTGACTAAAGTCATTGTTGCAGAGGGCAAAGAGGATATTACGATCAAAATCTCGGATGAAGGAGGTGGTATTCCTAGATCGTCGATTCCGCTCGTCTGGACATACATGTACACGACTGTGGACCAAACGCCCAACCTGGACCCAGATTTCAACAAGAATGATTTCAAAGCACCAATGGCTGGTTTCGGCTATGGCTTACCTATTTCTCGGTTATATGCACGATACTTTGGTGGAGATTTGAAGTTGATCTCGATGGAAGGGTATGTTTCAACATAGCTCGGCTCCTTTTGGCAGAAAAACGGCTTGAAACTGACTCGTTTTGACAGCTACGGCACCGACGTCTACCTCCACCTCAACCGCCTCTCTTCTTCCTCGGAGCCTCTGCAATAGCAATTACCTGTCATGAGGGGCGGATGGACATCGAGCGAACTCATCCGATCATCCCGAGGAATGGCGCAGGGTAACGGTTCGCGCAAATACAACCCCTTTCTGGCTAGCAAGGCTATGAAGTTGAAGTTGAGCGGCCAGGTTAGCAGGGAAATCAGTGAGAGACGGCAAGTAGGCGATGCAGAGGACATGTTTGCGGAGAAGGGTGCTGGTGAGGGTGATAAACCGTGGTGGCGCAATGTCGGCATGGAAGAGGGAATGTGAAGTGGACATAGGAACGTGGCGTTTTGTAGACCTTTGAAGGGTCAGCTTGGAGACACCATTATGAAGAGATGGAGGCAGTGGCGCGCGTTCTTCCTTGTTGTTGTTGTTGAAATCAATGTAAGTAACTGGCGCGCTTGGGAACGCGTATATGAGGTGTTTGGGCATACATTGAAAAAAGGAAAAGAATAGGGGGAGGGGGTTTCTGGGAATTCATTCGTTATGAACCCCATATATATCCCCTTAGGCCTAGGGAAGAAACAGGTTACGAACGCAAGTATCTAATGCAACGAGTAACGTGCCTCTTTGAATCTGGTTGTATCCAGAGTAGAAAAAGTCGTGATGTGAAGATGTATATATGTACATGGCTGGGTATAAAGCTGTTTGCAAAAAAAAAATCTTGATACGGACCCCCTTCTCCTTCTCCTTCTCTGCCCATTAAGTCGTACCTACTGTCCCACTCCCGAACTCACCCTCTTCCTCATCTTCGCAATCTCCCTCTCCTTGCCCTTTCCACTCCTCCCCGGACTCCCCAGGCCCTCCCCATCGCGACCCTGCTGCTGCTGCTGCGACCCCTCCCACTCATCCCGCCAAACAATCGCATCCTTCGCACACGTCTCAAGCCCAAGCAGTACATTCCGATAATACGCCCGCGTCTGCGTTATACTCTATCTCACTCGTCAGCCAAACCCAAAAGCTCAATCTTCCCGCGATGTCGAGGAAAAAGGGAAGAAAGAGAAGGAACAACGAACCTCATTCCTCACCCCCGCAATCCACATAATCATCTCCTCACTCTCCAGTATCCCCGCCGCCTCATCGCGCCGCTGCCTCTCTTCATATCCCCACGCTCTACTCGCTTGGGCTCCTACCGATTTACCAGCACTATTGCTGCTACTACTGCTACTACTGATGAGATTGTAGTTTTTGCCTCGCGCTTGCAAGTTGCGGCGCAGGTCTTCGTCTTTTTTGGTGTGCGCGCTGCGCGGGTCGAAGGGAGGTGGAGGACCGCGTTGGTGGCGTGGGTGCGATGGGGATCCGGCGTGTGGTGTGACACTTGCGGGGGATGGTGCGGGTGCAGTGGGTGTTTGAGTCGAGTGTGAGGCGGGTATGGGGTCTAAGATGGAGTCTGAGGCGGAAGCATGGTACTGATGCTGCTGGTGGAGCGCAGGGTAACCCGTGTTTGTAGTTGGTGGCAGTGACATTGTCGCATTGCTGTGAGCTATCCTTTTTTTTCTACTCCTCCGAAAAGTGTATAGGGGAGTTTGTGTGTTGGTGTCCGGCGTTGGTAAGAGTAGTGGCAGGAACAGTAGTCGTTTGGTTGTGGAGGTGAAGTGGGGTTGCGGCACAGCCCGTTGCTGCAATGTCCGCGGGAGAGGCTGAGATGGGAAGGTGGGCAGTACGTACCGACACCTAGGTAACGGAACACATCTACCTTTCTAGAACGCTGATCATACTCTTATTCAAACACATTTGTTTATATTCTAATTTCCACGCCAAGAATGAAAACTCGGTACACGAATTTCTATTTAAGTGTTGCTGTTTATGATACCAATTGTCTGCCCTCCCAACGTTACGGTCGCAAAGTTGACTCCCTCCAATCTATACCCATTACTCTGAGTGCTTGCCGTCTAATAATGTTTTGACCCAAACCGCTGAAATGCCACCTATCCCATATGCCTCAACGCACACGCCGATATAGCCAACGTACAATCGATCAAAGACCCCTCGTTCGTCTATAGTGTTGTTGACAGCTATTTACTAGCCCCTTCATAACGCGTCTCCCAACATTTACTCCTGGATAATGCGGACTGCAGGCTTGTCCAGGAATTAGAAGAAATGAAGCTATGTGCTACCGTTTGCCGGCTGATGCTCGGCCTTGGTACCCTTTCCTCGCCAGGTACTGACGGCCGGTATGTCGGCTTTCAATCTTTCCTCCTGTGTCGAGTACGCCTTTGGTGTCAATTTTATCAACGTGTGCAGAGGCACTTCCATCCAGGGGCTCTGTTCCTGCGGTACATTCATGAAGTAGGCGTAGATGCATCGCAAAATGGCTTGATGTGTAACAATCAAAATGTTCTCGCTGCGCTCCAGTTCCATAATAATGGGTTCGAGTCGAATAACCACATCGCGGTATGATTCTCCACCAAGATAGCGGTAGTTGTACTTGTCCTCATCACGCTGTTTGAAGTCTTCTGGGTATTTTTGCTCGATTTGCGCGTACGTAAGTCCATCGCAGACACCGGAGTCGAGTTCGTCAAGCGCCTTCCACTCCAACTTTTCAAAAGGCAAGAATCGTGCCGTTTGGATTGTTCGCTTTAGGGTCGATGTCCACACTGTGAGCTTGCGGCCATCGCCGACCGACTTTGCGACGAGACCTGGGAGCGCATGCGCGTAAGCGTCGCCGCGGGCTGAGAGGTTTGCGTCTCCTCCAATCTGCCCTGTGAGGTTGTATTCCGACTCGCCGTGCTACTGTAATCAGCATTGGACTCCAGATGTCGTGGTGCCAACTTACTCGTGATAACCAAATAGATCGTGGTTTGATGTGCAGGTTCATCAAGTAGTACACAACTCTACTCTGGAGGTAGTCCTGGATCTGGTTGATAATGACTTGTTTGCCAACGTTGATGAGCTTGACATATGTGAGGTCACGCTCATCCTCATCAATTGTCTGGTAAACCTTTTCGTAGTTTCGAATGCGGTTACGGAAATCGGCAGCAGCAGCCTCAGGGTCCTGGCCAACGTAATCTGGAGAGGTTGTCTTCACTTCCAAAATGTTGCTCATGATGAGTTCCTCATCGTCGCATTTGGACTCGACAAAGAGCGTCTCGATATTGTCCGCAGTGCATCGTTCCTGTATCCATCTTCGTCGACTCTTTGTAGAGTTTGTCGCATCGAGGATCGCGACCAATCCCTTGCCCTCGGAAAACCACTTGCACATGTCGTTGACAGCTGCTTCGGCGGCTGCTTTTCGGAGGCGCTCTCCTTCTGGGTTCGATGTGTCGAAAAATTCGGCCGAGGGGTTAGGGGTTGCAGTGCGACGATACTGCCCAACGTTGAACGTCTTGGATTTGATCGATAGCCAATGTAGGTAGCGGACCACTACGAAGTACTTGGTCAGGGGGCGACATGCGCACATGTGAAAATGGGACATACCTTTCTGTGCAATCAAGCTCTTGCCTCGCGCGGGCAAGCCGACCATGACGACGCATATCCGAGTGTCTTCAGCCTGTATACCAGCACCGTTAGTCTTTCTGCTTGGCCGTACGAAATCGCCGGCAGGCACAGCGCGCATATTTGGCGCATATATTCCATTGGTGTCCGTCATGTTGTGCGGCGAGTCCAGCTCCCTAAGATGCAGTGACGAAAAAAGGCGGGCAGGGTAAGAAAGAGAAGAGGAGGGTAGAGAAAAGCAACAGGTCGGAATCTAGCCCGAAGGTGTTCCGATGGCGCAGGGACGGAATGCGGCTTTTTAACCAGAGAGGCGGCAATGACAAGTATTGGGCGGTCAAGGGGAGAGGCTCCCGAGCGGCAGATCGTTTAGTGGTGGGTTTGGGCTGAAGCAATAGCGGTAAGGGCGTGGGGTGTTGTGTTGCAGAATCGTGAGCTCGGTCCGGCCATCAAGAAGCGAAAGGACGATGGATTGACGATTGACAGCGATTCCCCGCATTCGGTGCCGTTGTCCTTCTTTTCACCAGCAAGCGTTCGGATTGCGGCTCCAGACTAGCGGGCGCAGTGGAGCAGACACTGCTGCGAGATTCTCATTCGACAGCCAGACATTTTCGTCTGCAATCGAACCCGTCTCCCCGGACGGACGGATGACTGTTATGACCATTCCAAAATGCACGATTGCTTGTGCTTCGCGATGCGTACATTGTTGTCGGCCAGCGCCTCGGTCTGCTGGCCCTGTGCCATTGGCTCTATGGCTCCAAACAGTCGCGCTGCCACGCTCTTTTTCTTTGGTCGTGTGCCATGATGCCATAGTCCTCTGCGCCATGACGACAACGGCTCCAGTCGCATGGCTAGGGGTAGTCCAGACACATGCCTTAAGCCGCCGAATGCCGGAACGTCGCAAAGAGGGTGAAATTTCTTAACCAAGTTCATGCCAGCCATGGCAAAAATAGGCCGGAGTCATGGTGGCAGCCTGCAGTCTGCCCAAGGAATACGAGCTTACTTACCGTCGAGATGGAATAGGTTCTCGTATGGCCCATTTTTGTTATCAATGCAGCACAATCTCACTATGGTTGATAATGCTGTGGCGTGGTGGCGCAAGCTGTGGGACAGGTTGGCGGGGCAGTCTTCTTGGGTCTGGCTGCCAGAGGGATATTGTGCACTCAGTAGGTAGTTGCTTTGCTGCGTGTTCGAGAGTTGATGAATGGATCCTCGCCTCAAGACAGCCAAGTGTAGTATCTAGGCTCACAAGGCCCGGTTGCCTTATCTGTGCTCCAAGCAGGAACAGCTCACACCGCTATCGCCTTCAACTTGCATGTATGCGTGTGTAATCCCGCGGGATGTGTTTATCTTCCGCTACCCAAACCACGTGCACAAACGCCAACACCAGGTCAAATCACGCTATAAATATTTCAACATGACTGCAAACGCTACCAGATACTTTTTGTTTTTATCTTCGTCTTCTCAGTATACCCAATTAGCAAACACCTCTTCAGATTGTCGTAAAAATAGCAACGCAAACTTGTTCGCCTTCGCTATGTGCAAATCCTGCGCCAAACTCGAGCATAAAATAAAAGATGCGGGTATCCAGCAATGCTCAAACTCAACTGCATGCTACAAAATTCCATATGCCATAAAATCTGAGACGGCCGTTATATGTCGAGAGGTTGCGCCAACTCGATTGAACATCAAGCATGTAGTCTTGCCATGCCATTAACCCTGCAGGAATCAACAATCCCACTCTTGAGAGCGAGCAGTGCAGCGCTGGCGTCTAGTCGGCGTTTCAATGCTGCTGCTGTTCGGTCCTGTCCTCGGCTGCCAATGCCTTCTTCTACCCATCGAATCTTATTGATCATGAAGCTTAGACCTTCGTGTCCCTTGCTCTTCCTGCTCGAGATTCCATACTCGACTGACCCCGTATACTCCTGAAGCTGCGGCAGAATGACAATCTCAATCTGCAAATCCATGTCGGCGGGCGGGGTTACAGGCGCAGCGGGGAGCTTGGTAAGGACATCTTCGGCGTCCGATGGGTCATTGGGCGCAGTGATGCGTGGATCGAGCATGGCAACGTCGACGGTGTCGTCCCACTCGCCACGGATCCATCCCGAGTGAATAGCAGCAGCTAGAGGATCGGAATCATCGCGGTATACACGTGCCCCCCAGAGGTGCCTTTCTAGTACGATATGCTGGCGCTGCCGTGGCTTCAGATAGTATCTCGGCACTCTGATCGTGAAGGTACAGTTGATAGGATTGACGTCAAAGCGCGGCAGTCGCTGGGGTTTCGAGGCGTAGCCAAATTGATCGTCCAACGATGAGTTGGGTTTTGGCAATTCGGTCTGAGCCTGGTACAATTGTGACCCAAGATGTTTTCGAGGTCGCTTAGCGGCTTCTTCCAGGATAGGTTGTATATCGTGAATCTTGATTGGTACTGCAAGTGCCACAGGCATAGTCGGGCGGGGTGCGTGATGGTGGTGGTGGTGATGATGGTGGGGATTCCCCTGAATATGGTGGTGATGATGGACAGATTGGCCGGGACCTGCTTGGGGTAGGGGCGTCGGTCGGCCGTTGAGAATCGCTGTCGTCGGTGTGGGTAGGCCTTCGTCATCGGGCTTGTGTTGGTGATGGTGATAGTGGTGGTGATGATGACTGCTAAGTTGTTAGCATGAACTTTGCAAAGTAGCCGAAAAGGGGGAGCGGCATGGTTGGCTTACTGGTGAGGCGGGGGATGATGATGGTGGTGATGATGCTTATTCCGTTTAGCACCACGAGAGCCGAACGGGGTTCCTCTACC